GTTTATTGTTAACAATGTCCTCCACAGAAGGTGGCCTACTGAAAAGAAGGATGAAACCTACTGCAGACAAAGCATTTATCTTGTTTGGTGAATTTCTTGAAGAAGGTTTGTCATAGGTCACATGATTTATATACACGTATTATTACTATTTTGTAAAAAAAACAAACAAAATTCCAGTGGAAGAATTTCGTGAGGCCGTTGGCGAAAAGAATGTTTCCGATCTCTATAATGCGTTAAAACTACATCGCAGATGCCGTAAGGACTCTGACCAAGAAGTGAAAAATGCTGTGTCGGGAATAATATGTATGCTGACGGAGTGGTTTCCACAATTTTCCGATTGGCGTGAGCTGGTGAAAGACGATGAACAGAGTGAAGTCGAAAAGGTGATAAAAGAATTTTCGAAAATAAAAAAGCCAAGTATACCACCACGTGTGGCTCTTCCACCGCCATGTAATTATTTTCTACTTTAACTAATTGTCCGACTCGATGATAATTATTAACAGTGATCTGTCTTCTAGCATTATATTTTGATCGTGACGTCACCCGTTTACTCAAAATGTTTCGCACCTCGTTGACCGAAGGACTTAACACTTCAAGTATTCCGTCATTACTGAGTCATTATGGTCCAAATAAAATTCCGGAGCCGCCTAAACCATCTATTTTCAATATGATATTTAACCAATTGAAGGATTTCATGGTCTTAATTTTGTTGGCTGCCACAATTGTCACTGCGGCCGAATCCGATTTCAAGGGAATGAGCGTGTTGCTTGTCGTCATCGTGCTTAATACCATAATCGGCTTTACTCAGGAATACAAGGCCACTAAGGCCTTAGAAGCTTTACAAAAACTATCGGTTCCTAAGGTATACAGTATGACTTTTCATAGGATTAGTCACGTGTTATATTTTTTTGTGACTAATGATCATCATATAAAAAGGCACGAGTAATTCGGGATGGTCAACAACTGGAGATTGATTCGTCTCAACTTGTTCCAGGTGATATTGTCATATTAGAAGAGGGTGAGCCCGTTCCCGCAGATGTACGAATCGTAGAATGTTCGCATCTGGAAGTGATCGAGTCAGCCCTTACTGGTGAAAGTCTTTCGGTATCAAAGAGCGTGAAGAAGATTTGGACAAATGTAGGTCTTTTTACATTAAAATTATCTTGTTGATGAACATTAATTGATTGAATTTTATTAATTTCATAGACAAGAAGCCTTCCACTAGGTGATTGTAAGGGCAATGCATTTATGTCAACTGTGGTTTTCAAAGGTCGAGGCAAAGGTCTTGTTGTCAGAACTGGCAGTGATACGGAAGTAAATAACATGATTTTTTTTTTTTTTTTTATCGATGCGCACATAGATGGTCTTTGTCCGTTCATCGTCCTATTTTTATATAATAGATTGGTAAGATTAGCGCTGCCATATCCTCGTCCAAACGGGTTACAACACCGATTCAACGTAAATTAACAAAACTTGGAAAATTCCTTGTTGTTCTCGCAATGTTTTTGTGCATTCTCGTCATAATTATCGGAATCGCATATAAACACAGCGTGAAAGATATGATTTCTATTGGCATGAGGTATGTAACATAAACTTATCGCGTTAACCGTTCATCTCCTAATAAGTTCTAAACTGTGGTTGTAGTTTGGCAGTATCGGTCATTCCGGAAGGTTTGGTAGCGGTGACCACAGTAACAATGGCTATAGGTGTTCGTCGTATGGCAAAACGTAGTGCTATCGTGAGAACCCTACCTACCGTAGAAACGTTAGGGAGCGTCACCGTAATATGCTCCGATAAGACTGGCACATTGACCGAAGGAAAGATGGGACCATGTGAACTTTGGACAGCTGACGATACTCATTATTCATTTACTGAGCCAACATCCTTGAATCCGAGCGAGGGTAAAATAGTAACCTATCCTCGAGAGTATTATTGTAAAAGGCTTTTCAAAACACGTTCCGAGAAATCGCTGTCAAAAAACGAGAAGGTTGATTACATAACGTATGAATCACATGAAATTCCGAAAAAATTAGAAGACACACCAGCGCATCTGGTAGCGGCAATGATGGTTGCATCTTTGTGTAATAACTCTTCAGTCACAAGAAAAGATGGAACCGAAGATGAGTGGAAAGGAATAGGCGATCCAACCGAGGTCGTATCTTTTATACATTTGATATTTATCGTTTATCCATGAAAAAGTTCCGTTTGATCTAACTTCGAATATTACAGGTTGCTTTGGTGCTCGCGGCTCAAAAAGGAGGATTCTCAAGAAATTATTGGGAAACGGAGTATGGGTTCTCGAAATTTTGCGAGAAACCCTTTGATAGCGAACGTAAACTTATGAGCGTAGTGTACACAAACACATTAGAACAATTTAAACAAGTGAAATTCGTTTTGGTTAAGGGCGCACCTGAAGAACTACTTGGCAAATGCACACGTTGCCTACCTAACGTGTCGACATCAAAAATGGATGCACCATTCGACATCATTCTTGGAGAAAAGGAGAATTGTAAACCATGCGAATTGACGGAGAAGTTTGTTGAAGACGTATCAGAACAAAGCTCGAGAATGGCATCACAAGGTTTAAGGGTCCTTGGGCTGGCATTCAAATTAGCTTATGAAGATGAGTTTCCTCTCTTCTCTTCTGATGTGGATGAAGAGATTAGCGACGCGAAAGATGTCACCTCTCCTGAATCTCCATCAATGAACCCACTGTTTGCAGAAAAGGATTTAACATTCGTTGGATTGATTGGGCTGATAGATCCACCAAAAAAATCTGTTGCGGAATCTGTTCGAAAATGTAAGGAAGCAGGAATCCGTGTTATTATGATTACTGGCGATCATGCTGCTACAGCTACCGCAATAGCGACAGATATTGGTATAATAGAGCCCGAAGCACCACATATGGTGAGATTTATTATTTATTTATTTATTTATTTATTATTATTTTTTAAAAAATTAATACGCTTTTTTAATGTAATTGATGACTTCCTAGAACCGTGTAATTCGTGGTGCAGAAGTTGATCTTCTATCAGATGATGCTATCACACAATTAAATCCATTTCCTAATGTTTTTGCGCGTGTCAGGTAAATTAAATTCTACTCATTTATTATATTACAAAAAGCAATATTTGCTTAACATGCGAGTTTTTTCTTTTTTCAGTCCGGATAACAAATTAAGAATTGTCAAGGCTTTACAGAATCTCGGTAATTCGGTGGCTATGACCGGAGATGGTGTCAACGGTAAATTAGCTTATTTGTAATATTCTTTTCGTATTTGCGTCTTCGTTGAATAAACTTGTTATTTGTTCCAGATGCACCGGCGATTAAGGCCGCAGATGTCGGTGTCGCGATGGGAATTAGTGGGACCGAGATCACAAAACAAGCCGCAGACATTGTCCTCGCCAATGATGATTTCTCAACCATAGTTGCAGCAGTTGAGGAAGGACGACAAGTGTTTGATAATATTCTCAAATTTATTGTGTATCTCTTAAGTTGTAACGGAGCCGAGATCGTTTTGATGTTGCTTTGCGCAATCATCAATGTAGAATTGCCTTTTACAACCATAATGATTTTGTTTGCCAATATAATCGGTGCGTATCCAAACTACATCATAAATATTTTTTATTGTTGATAATGCTTATTCAATTTGATGCGTGTCCAATTTTTTTTTGCAGCTGATGTTCCGCCCGCAATATCTCTTGGCATCGAACCAGCAGAGGGCGATCTCATGAAAAGAAAACCACGTGATCCGAGTTCTGGCGTGCTTAACAGATACACAACGTCAATTTTGACAATGCAAACATTTGTGATGGCTCTGGCAACATTCGGTTTATATGAGATCGCACTGAATATTGAAGACATTCCATTGGAAGATTCTAGATCATTGGCATTTGCCACATTAACCACCATGCAATTGTACCAAGGGTTCCTGTCTAGAACACTAAATGAGAGTGTGTTTAGGACCGGATTTTTCGGAAACAAGGTTCATTAATAATATATTATGATTTATTTGTAATTCCTTTTCTTTGTAAATTAATATGTTAATTTCAATTTTGTAGTGGATGGTTGGAAGCGTATTTGGATCTTTTATCACACTGGCGATTGGTATCTATGTGCCAGGTAAGAATTAGTGATTCAATTTTCGACAGAAATTGCAGAATTTCTAATTGATTGTATATCAATACAATTAGGTATTAGGGAATGGTTTACACTTACACCCATCCCAGCTTTTGGATGGGCAAAAATTTCAATATGTCTTGCCATCCAGTCAATGTTTAGTGAAATTGGTAAAATGTTCGGACGAAGGATTAGAGATAAGGAGTCTGAAAAGGAGTTTCAACTTTGAATGGCCACAATCGCATAATAAGAAGTGGATAGAAAGCTACAAGAATCCTATTAATTTTCGAGGCAAAATTCGTAATGTTTAATATGTATTTTGTTATCTATTAATAGTTATTCTTTAATTATCATACTTAAAATTAATTCTATAATACATTTTATAATATTAATGTAAATAAATAAATAAAATAATGTTATCTAAAACAATCGGTAAATTTTACTGTAATTACGTTATTTTTCATAGTAAACCGAAAAATATCGTACGTATTTGATATGATACAAATATATTCTTTATAAGAACAGAAAAAAAGGATCAAGAATCAGATGATTTATAGTGTGTAAAAAATGACAAATATATTTTTACAATTAAATGAAAAATTTTTATTTTAATTTCTTATAATTTTATAAAATATTTATTAAATAATTATAAAAATTCTAATTGTAAAGAATTTTTCTCCATTTTTTCTTTACATAATGTATAAATGTCAATAAATAAGTTAAATATTTATTATTTGATTAAGATTTTGATATTCCGATGTGATATGTTTGTGAAGATATTTTTTACTCGTCCTACACAAAACCAGTGAAACAACAAGTCAGAAGAATGGCATTCATATAACACAAATCCAGAATGATCCAGATAGAATACCATCAAATATTTAATCCCATTCTTCATCTTCGTCTTCATCTTGTTCACCCGCTGTCAATCGGTTCCTTGCTTTAAGCTGAAGTGCACATTAAAACAATAAATAAGTTTATATTCAAGAAGCATTTAATATTAACTCGAAATACTTGCCGCGTCAGCAAGGCTTTGTTGTGCTTTGGATGGTGTTTCAGACTTAAAATAGACGATTTTATTAATATCATCTGAAATCATTCATTAATATATGTATATATGTGTAATACATACATTCGATCCAGGTCTTGGGGGAGCTAAAGGTCTATCTCCAGGCGCTGGCAGTTTAGGTGGAATATAAGGTTTTGGTACTGGTTTGCGACCTGTTGTTAAATTTTTATTACTCATAACATTCGGAATTACTTTGTTCGTTAAGAGTTAAAACAATAAATTTAAAATAGAAAATGAGGCAAACTACCACTAATTGGGATCTTTTTCGTAGATGCGACTGGATGATCTTGTTCAGTTTCTTTAACATTTGAGCTTTCAGTCGCCTACAATAAAATTACGTTACCGATGTTTTTTCTTGAAAGAAAGTCATTTCCTTAAAGCAATCTAGTACACACCCTTGCGGCCGCTTTTTTAGCTTCCAAAGCAGCCTTCCATCCACCAGATGACATTCCTGGAAAAACTGATACTGGTGCGCTTTTATCGTTCCTATACTTATTCCTGGTACTACCACCACCAACATTATTCCCAGACTCTCCATCACTGCCTTCCTCTTCGTCTTTCCTTAAACTTCTGGGTGATGTTGCCCTTCCTTGAGGTTGTTGGACTGGCGCTGGAGGTGGAGGTGGTCTACGCTTCGCCGGAACAGGAACGGGTTT